GCGGGGCCGGAGCGCGGCTTCAGCTCGCGGGCGCGGCTGCCCGAGAGCGCGGGGCGGCTGCGCTGGGGCGGTGGGTGAGCGGCAGCGGCTGCTGTGCAGACCCTGGGGCACGTGGTGCATTAGGCACCGGAAAAGGACAGCGTAGGCAAATGAGGGTCGGGGCGTTACACGGTATTCGGGCCTCGGGGGCCATTTCTCTGGCCGTGACAATATTGGAGACAGCCTGTGTGTCTCACATTCACCTGGTGGTCCCGGAGACACTACGTGTTTCCGAGAAACTGGTTAAATTGAGATAAGAAGTCCGTTTGGGGTATTTGTCACAGGCATTGATTGGGTTAGAGTCCCTCTCTTCGTGTGTTCATTTGTGACACATTTGTCATTGCACAGACCATATTATAATCTGTTTATGGGTTGACATAAGGGACTGTCGGTTCTACATTTCTGTATTCCTGGGCCTAGCACAGAGTAGGTCCTCAACTTTTGATCGGATGGAGGCGGAGGCACAAATGTGAATGCAGTGATTTACTTTGCAACATATTTCAACTTGTTACTGAAAGTTCCTACCAACATAGACAACTCTTATTACGTTAACAAGCAAAACACTCCAAAACACTAATAGGTTAACTGGCAGATTCGATGAGAAATGAAAAATAAAATACTTAAATATTGAACTGTCTTCTTCAACTCTAAATGGAATAATTTGAAAAGAGAAATGTTAGTGTACGTGAGAATAAACAAGAGAGTGCCACAGAGGAGGTGGGATTTGAGTTGGGTAAGGAGCTAAAGAGAACTTTCCAGGCAAGGGATGGACAAACATCATGAACAAAGACAACAGTGGAAATAGGCATGGTTTGTACAGACCAACAAGAGGATGCAGGTTGGGGCGTAGACGAAAGTAAGATTGGATAAAGAGTGAGGATAAACAAGAAAAGATGTCAATTAAATGCAGTGGCTCTGGAAACCACAGAGGCCTCATGAAGTTGGGAGATCCCTCATGTACAATCTGTCGGGCAGTAGCACTGAGAAGGATTAAGTGGAAGAGGGACTACCAGGGAGACAAGATGAGGCTCTGCAGTGAAATGGAATGAGACAAGGATGACAGAACACTCAGAAAGAGACTGATATCAGTGTCAGCTGGAAAAAGCCTTTTAAAAAACTTGAGAGGATTTTAACTGAAAAAGTGAATTTAGATTGATGTCTTTATCTTTCAAATAACTGCACTTAGACAAATGATTAACATGTTGAGAAGTGCCTGGGAAGATAGCTGAAAAGCAAGTGTTCTAGGAACAGTGGCTCTACTAAGAGATTTTTTCTGTCATGGACATATCTGAAACTATGTAACATTCAATGTCAAAACATTGTGCCTGGATCGAAGGAAATACTTGAAATTATTTCATATGGTTTGAAATGTGCTGATCACCTTGGATCTCAATATCAGGTAAAGTTAAAGCAAAACACACACATAGTATGGGGAAATTTTCTTCATTTTTAATTTACAGCAGAAAGAATATAAAGCATTCAGAAAACATTTTCCATATTTTAAGGGCAATTCAAAACATTTTGCATGGTTTCCAGCAGCTGAGTTCTTCAACAGATCCATTGATTCAATGATGCTTTACATGCACAATTACAAAAATAAAACTTACAAAAAAGAAGACATCTAGACTAGTTTTACATGCAAGTCTCAGGGACCCCCCATTGGGCGCCAACTACTGTGTGGAACTGCCATAAGCGACCGTGCAGCCAGAGAGGGGTTCGAGTTATTGTCTTTATTTTGTTCACACAGTACAGCTGATTTCAAATGGGTAACAAGAATAGCAATTAAGTCTTCAGGAGACAGAATAAGATTAGCTATTAATTTTATAATGAAATCCTACTCCTGGCACTTGGGAATTCAGATTATCCAAGAAAGCTGCGCTTACCTATCATCTTAGATTCAAAATTAAGATTCACAACCAAGAAAAAGCGGTCAGCAATGCTCCGTTTCAGTGGAAGTGCATTCGTACCTCAACTAGGATTCACAGATGTACTGGTAGGTTACACGGGTAGATTTTGAACCTACTTCCTATCCCCTCCATAAGAACCCTCCTAATTCTATGTAAGTTTTTATCTTCCAGAATTTTCTAACTTACTCAGCTAATAATGTAGCATGTGAAACATTAAAAAAATAAATAAATGTGAAGGTTAAAGCAAATCCACTGAGGTCATTACTCTTGTCAAAAGATCAGTTATTTGTACCATAATAAATGGAATAAACATATCTAAATTCAGTATTAATATAGGATATTCTGAAAGAGCTGGCTTTCACATTCGATTCCCATTTATGAATGCAATTGTGTGTTTGTAAATTACTCAGTGTCCTCCTATAGGTCAAACTATGTAAAATAATAGGTGTTTGGGAGACTGCAACAGCTGCAACTTAACCCACACATTTAAAAACAAAATTGAGTCAGCTCCGTTTACACGTATACAGGGGGCTACTGACTGTGGGGCTGTCACAGTTGTCAAAGCTGATCACAAGCAGTAAGACGTATACTGTACAGTAAGTCGAGGTTGGCAGTGAAAGGAAGTAATTAAAAAACAAGTACAATTATAGAAAAGGCACCAAGAGCACTGACCCCAGTTTTTACCGCAATCTTTTTATATCTACCTTCCTTCTAAAGACACCAGTTTAAAAGCTTATTTGTGACTATTTTTAGGCTTCACAACAAGCCTTGAATTTTAACTTACAGTTGGCAGCCAGAACCAAGAAAAAATGATGATCTCAGCGTTACACCAACTGATTCTGAAGCTTTAACCTGGGAATTTTAAACTGGCATCAGCAAATGCGAACTTTATTCTCTCGATTTAACATGAGTAGTTTAATTTTTAAAAGCATCAGATTTCTTTGGCTCCTCATTATGTGGAAATAGTAATAGACCATGACATCCCTACAAGACCAGTGTGCATCTTTTTAATTTTTCATTATTTTTTGTGCAATTTTTTAAATTACATTTTCCGATTTCCAGCAGGAGATATGAAAACATGAGACATTTTTCTACTTTTCATACTATTTCTTTTGTCGAGTTTTGATCATTCTAAGTGTTCTTCGTTGGAGTGAGTGGACGGTG